ATTGCCTATTTTCTTAGCAACTGGTAATAAGATCAAGGCATTTACAGCTTTAGCAGTGCTCTGCCACAGTTAAATACTAAAAAGCCTTTTTCAAGACAATTCCCCCACCCACCCCGCCTTTCCCCAGCACAGGGATTCTGTCTTTCCTGTATGCAAGAAGTAAAACAAAAAAGATGGTGAAACCAGTGGGCTGTGATGAACAGCACTGGGATTTCTGTCTGGCTCATGATCTTTACTTTTTCGCTACTGTCACTTTCAGATTAATAGTTTCGTAGCCAGTGTTTTCAGCCTTTTTTTTTTGTCTTATTGTGAACATCTTATTCACTGTGCTCTGAGAAAGTGGCTTCTGTTTGTCTAGTACAAGTCTGATAAATGTGTAGCTTGTGCTATCTCATCACTTCAAAATCCCATTTTGCTTTCCGGAGGAACAAGTAATTTCTTGTTGCCTTTTTTTCACTGCTCTGTGTAGTCCGAGTGTTCCTGGCTTTCTGTTGCAGGGACTCTCCCTTCTTGCTTCTTTCCAAGCTGCCAGGTTGCTGCACTACCCAGAGCTCTTGGGGGCAGCCAGAGTAGAGACAGACGAGCTGTTCCTGTGAGTTTCCCTGCTGCTGTTTGGAACCCAGCAGGTGGTTATGGAACTCGAAAGGACTGCATTAACCTCACTCCACTTATCCTGGCATTATCAGAAAGCAGGAATGCTGCAGATCCGGGGAAGAGATTGCTTGGTCATCTTTCTGAGATTATCTTTGCAATGCAAAGGACTCAGCACTTCAAGCTGAAGCTTGGATTCAGCAGGAATTGATTTTCTGGCTGGGGGAAGTGTGGATGAACTCACTAAGCTAATGTTTCCTATGAGCAAAGTTGTACTCCTGCAGGCTTTAGGTTTCATTAGGCTATCAGGAAAGAGTGGCTGATCAGGCCTCAGTGATAGTTGCATCTGGCAAAATGGCAAGTTGTGATGTGAAATTGATTCATTCTGGGGCCAGGTTAGTCCAAAAATAGGATTATTGCATTTTTAAGCTAAAATTTAGTTTTAATTTTAGGAAAAGGCTAGAAGGACTTTCAGACCTTCCATTATGTGTTAGGGTTGTGATGTTTTCCATAGAGGAATGACTTTATTCCAGTCCTTTGAGGTCTTTCATAAGTTAGTGCCACCTGCAGAGATGATCACTTCTTAATGGCATTTTTGTTGATTGGCAGTTCCTTATGTTTTTAAGATGTGTCTAATTCAGCAGCTCTTAGTATTTGTTGATTAGAGAGGTATCAAAACTCCCCAAAACTCCAAAGCCTGGCTGTTCTGCTCGTGCAGGAGGATCTACTTTGAGCTTCAGGCATCTGCAAATGATTGTGCTGAGTTCATCTTCTGACCTGAGGTTGTACCTGTGACTTGCAGTTTGTGGCAGACCTTACTATTGCAAGTGCCAGTGGAAAAGGTCTTGTGTTAGCAAGTCTTGAAATGAAAGAATGGGAAAACTTTGAAATAAATGGGTGCTAAAGACTTAGTGGATTTGACTGAGTTGTGAGTTTTATCCTGTCAAATCTACTTGGCCTGCACAGAGGCTGTCGCTGGGCTACAGCCACAGTGGTCACACATCCTATGAAAGTGTGGAAGCCCATGTGTGGGATCATCCATATGGTTTGAATAAAAAATCCCAATACGTGTTGCAGAAAGCTGATATCTGGTGTTAGCTTCCAGTTTTATTCTCTCTACTCTACAGCAAATTGCAAGTGCCTGAGAAATGCCTTTCAGTGGTAAACAGAGTAATGAAACATCCCAGTGGCAGTTTGATTTGATTTTGCAAGCTAGTGCTACCTAACTCAATTTCTTTATGAATGTCTGGTTGCATGTTGGCATCGAAAGAGAATGTAATTGGCAGGAGGGAGCTGTGCGAAAGAGATGGAGTTCTCTGGGGATTCCCTCTCCCATCAGGCTGCTGCCAGAAGGCAGAGTCCCTCTGTGTTTGTGGTGGGTACTTATCTGTGTCAAACCTTCCCTCTCCCTTTTCCACTTCCATTTTGTGAGATTAGTTTTGTTCATGTGCAGTCAGAGGACGAGATTGAGCTGTATCCCCAGCCTCTGCTGCCTTAGATTGCCTACTAGCAGGGGTTTTCTGTCTGGATGGTGCTGGACTGTGCTGTTCCAGTTGCAGGAGTTTAACGCTTTCACTTCTTGCTCTGTTTAGTTTTCAACAAAAGCAAACTCCGTATGGAATAATCATGCAGCAGGCCCCAGATTCACCATTAGTGACCTGTAAAATTGGCAGCACTGGAGATTATTGGCAGGAGACGGTTTCCCTAGGCGCTTCCTGCCCTCTCTTGGAGAGTTAAGTTCAATTAGAGCAATGATACGCACAGCAGGGATTTTGCAAAGAGTCCAGTACTTGGTGGTAGCATTGCTGTATGAAAGGCAAAGAGATATCTTTGGCCTTTTTGTGACCTTAGTGCTACAGCTGCTGCCCTCTTTCTAACCTCTGCTATCTTGGAACTCTCACTAATGTAACCCTCTTTCACCTCTTCTTTTACCTCCTGATGCAACCATATCCCTCAGACATTACTAGTCTGCATTCTGTGAGGTTTGTCCTCCAAAAAACAAAGTAGAGATTGTGGGATGTGGGGCATTTCCCCCTCCATTCAATTTTTCTTGTTTCTTTCTGGCTTCTTACATGTTATGGACTGCCCTCAGATCTCTGTAATCATCTTTCTCTTCACACTTTTGTGATTTGCTTCTACTTTCGAAACTGTTCTGTTTTTAGCTGTGGTTTCTTGGCATCCAGGTTCTGTGATTTCAGGAAATCCCACAAAGTTCAGTTCTGTCTCTTTTCTGCCACAGCCTTGTGATGGGAGTCCCTCTTTATTGGTCCCTTATGTGAAGAACATAATCCTGAAAATAACAATTATATTTTTCTTTCTTTATTATAACTTTCACCTTGCATTCACTGCCCATATCTTTAGTATCCTTAAGGGCAACTTGTCCATTAGTTCCTTATTCTCTTTGTAGAAATCCTTCTGGTTTTCAGGGTATTGAGAGAGACTTGCACAGTAACTTTTCTGAGATATTGGTAGGTGTGTATATAAGTACTGTTAAAAGCATGCTTGGAGTAGTCTTTGAAGAGGAAGACTATTCTCCTGATACACGGTGGATGTTTATGGTATTTAGACATACATTGGTAAACTCTAGTTTGTGGGATAAACAATCACAGTGCTTTTAAGGTGTACTTACATTGGGGGAGAAAACGACTAACTGTACATTTCCATCGTGGTGTTTGCTCTTACTTAAGTTCGTAGTTAAAACCCAAAAGCACTGAGTGGTGTTGTAGTTGATGGTCTCCATTTGCTTCTTCAACATCTGTGTTTTTCCTTCTGTTTCCGAATAGTTTGTGCTTTCTGGCTGCTAGTATTTGAGAAGAATGTACTCTCACAGTGGCCAGCCTAATTAATTACTGTTAATCCCCAAAAATTGGCTGCTAAAAGTTTTGTTGTCCTTGAAGCTTTCATACTGTGCATGCTACTGTAGCATGAGAGCGCAAGGAGAGGGTGATTGCTTCCTGGCAGGCTTCCACAGAGAATCCCCTGGGCAGGCTTGAGGTAAAGAGGAAGAGAAGGAGGATGGATACAAACTTTAAATAGCATTGCTAGTCTCTGCACTGAAATAACAGCACCTTGCTTTTCAGCAATTGTGTTAAATTGCGTTTTGTGCAAACTGTGAAATTGTGCCAGTGGCCACGTGCCCTGTGTAGGGTAGTAGACCTCTGGTAGGAGCTGGCCTTTCACTCAAATGTCCCAGCACAAAAGCTAAAACATCTCGACAAAACCTCTTTCCTGACAGTGATTGTACATCCCAGTCAGCTTCATGCCCATAATGTATTTGCTTTTGACAATTTGAGATTCTTTTGCTGTGTTTTATCAGGGCCTCTCTCTCCCTCCTCTCATTCCCCAAAAGCTGCTGGAGAAAGTGCAGGACTGACTTAAGAGTTCCTCCTCACAAGTCATAACAGGAGATAGACTTAGAAAGTGATTGAGGAGGGTGGCTGTTTCTTTTCCTCTTTCTCCTCCTCCTAACATTCTGCTGGGAGTTGCTTGTGAATGCACAGGGGTACCAGGGTGGAACTGATATAGACTTTGTCTAGTTTAGTTTATCCCCCTGCTCAGACAGAAAGATGCATGCCTGAGGCATGTGAGTGCCCTTTCCCCATTCCAAAGAGGATGTGTTGGAGGGAGAGGAACAAAAAATAAATTTAGAAACAGAAATAAACATTTAGGAAGTATTATATTATCTTAATCCCCACTGCACTGCTAAAATAGAGATGGGTCTGGGAATTTCATAGAGAAATTCCAGAAGTGTTGGAGGTTCATATATTCCTGCAGAGAAGGATGATGGAGCTGCCAGTATGTGACCAAACATGTAGGTTCAGAGTCCCTTCTGGGCTGAAGAAATAAGGCCTAGAGGATTGATTTCCTGTTGGGTGTGTTGAGATATTGCACAAGCTTACTGGAGTGTTTGAAGTTACACTGACTACTTTTTAAGTTCATATTAAACTATTAATATTGTTTTGAAAAGGAAAAAAAAGGACACATTTACAGCTAATGTTTAGGGAAACATTTCTTCAAGACTGGGCGAGGTGCACAATAGCTTCTGTAATTTTATGTTCTGTTTTGTTCAGTTTTCATCATAGTAAATGTGTTTGCATATCAAAATCTTTTGGAAAAGGACCAAAATTATACATAAGTGACATTGCATAGGATAGAGTAGGATTAGTTTATGCTTATTTTATGGCTTTGATTTTTTTTTTTTCTTCTACACAATTTGGCATTTGCAGTTGAAAATAAATTTTAGGTGTATTGGCTTACATGGAAAAAAGGAAGTTGGCAGAATACTTTAGCTCATTCATCCCCCATTTCATGAAGATTCTTGTCTTTAGCTGAGTTAAGACAGGCCTGTATTTCCTTCATTTCTATTCCTTGTAACTCTTACATTCACTCTTTGCTTTCTTGTCTTGCAGAACGAGCCTCTGACTTCAGGTTATCATGGCTATCCAGCAAGAGACAATCAAGTAAGTGTCTGATTGCAGTAAATGTATGTGCCAGTGCTTCTCTGTACATGTAGGGGTGTTTTGTCTGACAGTTTCCTGGCTGTCATGTTATGGGGTGGAAATAGTTTTGTTCTATTGTGGATTGTTTGTGGAGACATGTGTGATTAATTGACTGGGTTTTTATGGCTTCCAGGAGTATGTTGCAAGGTGCCTGGTAAGGGGTTAAATATCATCCACATTACCAACAGCTCAGGAAATTCTTGATTCTTAAAAATGTCACAGCTTAGAATCAGTGTCCTAAGCTCCCACTGTATCTCCTCAGTGTTAATGAATGTAGATGTTCAGTGCCAGTACATGCTTGGCCCTGTTTTATACTTATTGCTGTAATTCTGGCATCTGGGGAGCAAAACAACACTGAGTTTTTGTGAGAGTCTGCTTTGCTGGTGGAGTAGGGAATGACACGTCCTGTTGGGTTGTTTCTAATATCTGTGAACTTGTCTTGCATTCCTTTCAAGTCCTGCAGGGCCTCTGCCCCTTGCTCTTATTCAGGATGCGTTCCTACAGCAGTAAAAATTACACTGTTCAGTGCACTGCATCTGTAAGCATTCTCTTGCCTCCTGACAGAAGACAGAGAAATCCCAGTTGATGAATTTGCAAGATGGAAGGAGGAGATGCTTTGGAACAAATGAAATTTAATGGTTGTAAGATAGAACTGTCACACATTAAATCTCCCTTCTTAGAATGAAGTTTTTTTTCAGTGTTCTGCAGTGCTACTGCAAAGCAGAGTATGAACCAGTGTAGCAGGAAATTAATATGCACAGAAAATCAATAATGCAGCACATTTCAGTAATGAGCAAATAACAAAACCAAAATCAAATTCTTTAATACTCTCAGGTACTGCTATATAAAGAAAGCGATTTTCATCATCTCTTGATGAGGTCTGGGTATATGTAATAACAGCTTAATGGGAGATGTTTTTATGAAGGAAGTGCAGCATAGTGCAGCCTCAGCAACTGAAGAGCTTAAATCTTTGGTCTTGGTATGTGAGTACGAGTTTATAGGAGGAAATTATTCAGAATGTCTTCTGGGATATATTAAACTGCTAACTAGCACAAATAAATACTACACAGTGGGATGCTGTGAGAGTTGTGTTCCTACTCTGTCCAGGCTAAGTGAGGTAAGCTCGGCTGCAAGGCAGAGCCAGTCAGATCCTTAAAGTGGTTCATATCTGCTTTTGGTTTTCCCATTCTGGTAGCACCTTCTCTGCCTTACTTTGGTGCTTCACTTCACCTACCCATTTAGGGGTGTTTTGATACCTACCAGTACATCCCACTTCACAGCATTCCTCTTTTTCATCCCATAAGAACTCTTCTGATTTGAGCATCCAGAGCTGCTGTTGCTGGCAGGCTGCTAGATCAGCCTAGATGGGCATGGGAAGCTGTACTACAGCCAGGATGTGAAATGAGAATTACAGCTTGGGCAGCCCTGGGGAGCTCTATATGGGTGAGCACAGGGAGTAATGAATGTTAGCAAGTGTGTGTATGTATTTCAGATGGCAGATAGCTTTATGGAATTTTCTTGGAGGACAAATAGCTGCAGTTTAACTTGTGTGTTTTCATTTAGCAAATGCTTGTAAAAATATTTTTGGCCATTTTTTCTTTGTTTTGTTTTTTCTTCCTTCTTTCTACAATATTTGGATCTGTAGTATGTATTTGTTCTTCTTTCTTGCTTGTGTCCCTGAAGCAGCTTAAATTCAGATCTGGTTTTCACTAATGAGGTTTCAAGGCTTTTAGCTAATCTGATTGCAAGCCTCTAACTTGATAGCAGCAGAAAAAGAAGTCTTCTGTTGCCACAGGCTGGGGCTGGTATGGGAAATCAGCAATGGCTGATCCATCACCTGCTCTTTCGCACTGGGAATGGAGGAAGTGATGTGGGAATATAGGCAGGGGTCCTCACCCTGTAACAAAGTAATTATGAGATACAGGAGCAATTGTGTTGGATTTCCTCAAATTAGCAGCTGGATTTGAGTAGGTATGGGTAAGTCAGTGTATTGTGTTCTTCCCCATTGCACTTCTTTACTGTAAGTAAAAACAGTACTGTGTTTTTTTCCCACAGTGATTTCTTAAGGAGAAGTAACAAAGCAGAGCTTATTTTTAGGGCTTTTCATCCTGTGCCCATAGTAGTCAAATTCTACCCTTTCTTTCACTTTGTGTAGCATCCTATTCCTCCTTCATTTGTTTGAATGCCTTTTTCGTTCTCTCAGGCTCTGAATGCTGTTAATTGCTGGCTGCAAACCTTTCACTGTGCTGTTTTTACACCCTCTAGTGGTTAAATCTTACCCAGATGTTCCAGATCATTGGCGTTTTTATTCCTGCCAGTGGAAATGTGTGATTGGTTTGAGTCCTCACTTTGGCCATTTGGGAATGCTTAGGTCTCCAGAACTGAGTTTATTTTGTATCTTTTCCCACGTATTTAAGTGTTCTGTTGTCACCACACATGGGCAGCAGTACTGAAACAAATGAGATTGGGTTCACATTGAGGCTCTTTTTCTCTCAGAATTCTGGTGTTGTGGGATTGCTTTATGGTAACCCAAAGCTCTGGGTGGTTGTGCAGCCCCCTTGTTCCTCCCCTGCCCTACCAGAGTGCTGGCTTGCTGGACTTTTTGTGGTCATAGGACCTGGGGAGCATGTGTGCTAAATCATTATTGTACAAATTTGCCTAAAAAGATGCTTTCTGTTGCCGAAGTGTTGCACCACTGCATCTATGTTACAGTCCTGTAAGGAGCTGGAGAGCTCTCTGAGACTGTTCTCAGAATTCAAGGTTTGCTCTGTGGCTGCCTAATGGCCATTCAGGAATGGCAGGATACCTTTCCTTTTCCCAGAGCTAGGCTGATGGCAGGGACAAAGCCTGTGGTAAAGGGAAAATGACAGAACATTAGTGTAACATTGCTAACTGAGATGAGAACCAGGTCTTTTGGTGAGGAGAGCTTATTCCCTGGGGACTATTCAATTTTTCAGCCCTCTGTTAGGTCTGCCAACAAAATGGTATTTCTTTTTTTGTAATGCAAGCGCCTGCCTAAAATGCAGTGAACCAAGACTTCTTTGCTTCATTTCCCAAGCTGTGACAAACAGCTCTGAGGTACTCTGAGCTGGTCTCAACATGGAAAATAACTGGTACAGCTGTACTGATACAGCTTTTACATACAGACAAACTCATCAAGAATACATATTCTTTTTCCAGAAGGCCGTTGCATGCTGACTGTGCCAGCTCATTTTGTATATAGCCAAGGCCTATATTATATTGCTCTAGTGCTTTTCATGTCCAAGCGTATTAGACATGATATCTGAGATTTGTTAGAGTGCCGAATGCTGGCACTTCCGTGGCAGAATTTGGCAGCTGCACAGAATAATTTTGTTCCCCAACAGGAAGCAAAATGAGCAAGAACACCTTGTTTAGCTGCCACTAAAGGGAAGAGAGGAGGAGAGAGAGTTTATGGAAGCAGGAGATAATTGCACACACCAGAACTGGGTCAGGATGTTAGAGCTATTATACCTCTTCTGTTATGGAAAGTGATCCTCAGCTATCACAATGGGTTAGGATATTGGTTTGAAGCCTCTTTTAAAAGCTTGTACTTCCCTAAGTACAATTCTTAAATCAAACTGGGCCATTGGCTTGGTGCTAATGTGGTGGAAACATTGTTACCTATCACAAGTGACATTTCCTTCAACAGCTTAATTTCTGTGGCTGGTTTTCCATCTGAGCACTCGCTAGGCATGACCTGTTGTTCTCCTGTATGTAGATGAGGCTACAGCCCAAGGTAGTGGGTGCCTATGGCAACTGCTAGAAACAGCTTTATCAGTATCCTCTCAGTTTTGAGTTCAAGCTTAAGGTGAAATGCTGTTAAATCCTCTCCAGTTGTCAGCCTTTTCCCAAGTCTTCACTTGCTGCAATGGAATATCTGATGGGACATCGCAGGCTCCAGGCGGATGTGTGCGCTGCCTTCCCTGGGCCACAGGCTGGTGAGGGGAAACTGAACAGCAGTGGTGGCAGCCTGTGAGAACAGGAAGCCTCCCTGTTGCTTTTTTCCCTCCCTGTTTGTTTTCCTTGCCTAGTCCCTTCTGATGTGGGGAGTTTGGCAAGGAAGACCTTCATCCTGAGATGTGAAGGGTGTGTGAGAGCTCTCATGGGGAGGCAGGACAGCAGGTCACTGGGCTTCCTGTTGGAGCTGGCTGCACAGAGGCACTGCTGCTCATTGGTGGTCTCTTGGCAGCAAACAGCAGGCATCTCCACACAGAGTTCAGAGGGGAAACCTGTCCTCTCTCATCTGTGTGGTCTGAGACTTCTTCACCTATCTTCTCCTCTTCCATTATGTGGATGAAGTGTGAATTTGGGAATATTGCCACAACTTGATTAGCAGCTAAGTAAGCCCAGCATTGATTAGGATATCCACCCAAAAACATCTCTTGATTTTGTACCAAGAGACTTGAGATGCTCTTGCCATGAAGCAAACGAAAATGTCATCCTGGAGGAAGATGGTTTGGTCACTTGTTTGTTTCCACTTGTACCATGATAGCACCCGTCACAGTCTCTCTAGTGCCCTGCTTGGTCATTTTTGTCTCAAAGTTCAAATCTAAGTAGTCTTCCTGAAAAGTTTTTAGTTTTTAATTAGTTTTCCTCCTAGTAACTGACTGTGAAATAAACTCTCCAGTGTGTATGTTATGTGGCTCTGTAACCCGTGAGGTGGTGGCAGTGGAAGTGTGAAGTTATTCAGGAGCTAGAAAGCAGCATGGTTTGTGTGGCTTTGGGTTGTTTGTTGCTTACACTCTTCGTTTGAAAAGTGTATTTAATACAAATTATTAAACTCAGGGGCAGATGGAGGTTCTGGAGAGGCTCAAATAAAGTTTTAACACCTTACTCTGAATAAATAGCCAGGACAAAGATCAGGAAGCTTCTGGGATTCTCCATATAAAATGGACGATACCAGGCTCGGTGTTCCTAGTATTTTTGAGGAGTCCCTCTTG